CCCCCCCCATCACTGGCCCCACCATACCTGGGCGAGCAGCGTGGGCCCCTCCAGTGGGGACTTCATCAGCTGGTTCAGAGAGAGGAAGAACCGCTGCAGTGAGCACTGGAACTCAGCTGTCTCCTTCCCCTCGTAGAGCCTGAAACAGCCAGAGTCACCCCATGGCCACCCCACCTGCCCACCACCCCTGTTAATTACAGGATCCATTGACATAGCTGGGGCTGGCAGTGGGCACTGGCATGGCCACCACCCCAGCACAGGTACTGCCCCACATGGCCACTGTCCCATACAGCCACTGTCTCTCAGGGTCACCAGCCCCAGGGACAGCCAGAATCAGCATCCAGCTGTGCAGAGTTACCTCTGCTCTCTCATTTGCACACAAACCAGCACCTCCTCACATGCTCTTTTGTTTAAATAGCCCCTGGTACAGCACCCCAGACCTGCCAGCCTGTCGAGGGGACCCAGCAGGACCCTCCTGCACCTCCAGTTGCACAGGACCTGTGTGACCAGCCACAGGACAGACCAAATATGTGGGAATTCCAGCCCTGAAACGTGACAACAGGGAGTGTTTGGAAGCTGTGAACTTAACGCAGAGTCAGAAGAACAAAGTCAGGGCAGCAACTCCTGGTGGAAATGGGATAGGGAGTCAATCACTGACTGACAGACACATCCTCCAGGCCCCCAGCTCCTGCACACCAACCACAGCAAGCAAGTTTGGGTCTTAATTGTGTTTTGTTTCTAATTGTGGGCATGGCAGCAGAACAAACAGGATCTGTCATCTCTTCCTTACCAGCTATTTTTGTTGGGCCTAGTTCTGGTTAAAACTTTGCTACTTTGTTTATAACATTTCAGTTGGGCAATTCACTGTTCAAATACATCTTTTCTATCTGGTAAATGAGCCCGAGGGAACATCTGGAGCATTCCAGGTCTGGCAGCAGAACGAGCTGTTGATCTGCCCGAGGCACCTCAGATACGCTCAGACAAAGGCAGAGGCTGCTTCTCGGCTCCTGACAGACTTCCAAGACAAACCAGAGCCCAGACTGACTAGGGAAAATTCCCTCCTGGCATCCCATACCAGCTCTGAGCAGTGGGAGGCCCCAACAGCTCCCATCCCACAGCCTCATCCCACAGTCCTATCCCATAGCCCCATCCCACAGCCCCATCCCACAGCCCCATCCCACAGCCCCATCACACAGCCCTGGTTCCTGTCCTAAAACTCCACCAGAAGCCAGGAAGTTTAAAGCCACTCGGATGTGTTAAACTAAGCCAAAGGAACTGAAGCTCCATATGCAGCTTTCACTCTGGCAGCCACAATTCCATGCAATGATCACCACTTTTTAGACATTTGCTGGATTTTTCACAGTCCCTCTTTTTAACTCATCCCCACCTGCCACGGGTGCTCAAGCTCACCTCAAACTCTTGCCTACATAACTCATAGAGTCACAGAATCATTCAGGTTGGAAGGGACCTTAAAGATGACCAAGTTCCAACCCCCCTGCCATGAGCAGGGAACCACTACATCAGGTTGCACAAAACCTCATCCAACCTGGCCTTAAAAACCTCCAGGGATGGGGCAACAACAACCTCCCTGGGCAACCCATTCCAGCTCCTCTGCACCCTTAGAGTGAAGAATTTCTTCCTAATATCTCACCTAAATCTCCCCTCTCTCAGTTTAAAACCATCACCCCTTGTCCTGTCACTGCCCTCTCTGATGAAAAGCCCCTCCCCAGCTTTCCTGGAGCCCCTTCAGGCACTGGAAGGTGCTCTAAGGTCTCCCTGGAGCCTTCTCTTCTCCAGACTGAATGGCCCATGCTGTGTTCTATGCCTCAAAGAGGGCCTGCACCAACACCACACGCTATTGTGACACTGTCAGAGGTGGTGTCAGCTGTGATTCCCCAACCTCCAAGCTCGCGGTGACTCCAACCAGAGCAGCCGGTGTGTGCGGCGCGGGGGAGTCGCGACGGCAGCGCCGCGGGGACACGGAGCACGTCTGGGGACACCGAGCATGTCTGGGGAGACGGAGCACGTCTGGGGACACCGAGCATGTCTGGGGAGACGGAGCACGTCTGGGGACACCGAGCATGTCTGGGGAGACGGAGCACGTCTGGGGACACCGAGCATGTCTGGGGAGACGGAGCACGTCTGGGGACACCGAGCATGTCTGGGGAGACGGAGCACGTCTGGGGACACCGAGCATGTCTGGGGAGACGGAGCACGTCTGGGGACACCGAGCATGTCTGGGGAGACGGAGCACGTCTGGGGACACCGAGCATGTCTGGGGAGACGGAGCACGTCTGGGGACACCGAGCATGTCTGGGGAGACGGAGCACGTCTGGGGACACCGAGCATGTCTGGGGAGACGGAGCACGTCTGGGGACACCGAGCATGTCTGGGGAGACGGAGCACGTCTGGGGACACCGAGCATGTCTGGGGAGACGGAGCACGTCTGGGGACACCGAGCATGTCTGGGGACACGGAGCACGTCTGGGAACACTGCACCGCCCCCGGTGGCAGCTGAAAAGCAGAAGTGGCCGGAGGAAGCGGCGGGGAGGAAGCAGCGAAGGACACGGTGTCACTGCTTCCCCCAAGGGGCTCCCAGGGAAGTCGGGGTCAGGATGGGGGTGGGGGACAGGGTGGGGGACAGGAGAGGTCCCCGAGGTGGGGAAGGGAGCGGGGGGGCATTTGGGGTCTCTGCCCTGGTGCTGTGCATGAGGTGTCAAAGAGGGATGTGACATGGTGGCTCCTGGAGACACGATCCCACAGGAAACAGATTTTGGGCACTGAGCTCCCACAGCTGGCGCCAGGATCCATCCGTGTCACAGCCCGTCAGACCCCCTGGGGAACCGGGAAGCCCCTTCCCCACGGAGCTGCTGACCAGCCACCACCCTCACATCCCCCAGCAGCTGCTCGAGCTGCTCAGCCGGCTCCAGCGGTGCCTCACGTAATCAAATTGATAGGGCAATCTGCAGGAACTTATTATAATTGCAATCTAATTTCTGCAAATTACAGACTGTGTACAAATTGTAGCACCATTTAAAGTATTTAGAAGATCTGAGGAATCCGTGTTATTGCACTGTTAAGATCTCTGAGATAAAAGGAAGACAAACAAAAACACTAAATGTCTTCAGGGATGTCTCTGTTCCAACTCACACTAACTCACGGGGCTGTTTGCAAATGCTCCAGATAATTAATTTTCTCTGCCAGGAGTTCTCTAGGCTGGGGGTTTGCTCTGTATTTCCATACATGACAAGGAGGTAGATCCCTCCATGTGCTGGAGCACCCCTGGAACAGCCACAGTCTGGGATGTGCCAGGAACCCTACAGGGCTCCTCAGGGCCCCGGGGGGGACACCCACACATCTCCAGGCACCCCAGAACAGTGCTTGGGATGTAAGGTGGGAGCCAGACCCCGTCCCCGAACACCCCCCAAGCCACAACCCTGTGGCTGTGCTGGCACAGGCTGTGCCCGCCCCTGCCATGCAGCCCTCACCTCCCACCTCTCCCATGGGGCACCGTGGCTTTCGGTGCTGGGTTCATGGAATGAAAGAGGAAGGGAACTTGGTTTTTCTGGTAACTGATGGGTGGTGGGTTTGGTTTTCCACATTGCCCAGCAGCACACCCAGCTCACTCATGCCTGCCCAGCCAAGCCCTGTTTGTGCCATCACACAGACCAGGCCAGGAATAAACAAAAGCAGGTCCTGGGAGGACTCTGGAGGTACCCAAGGGAACTTTGACCTTATCCTCAGCAGCAAGAAGGAGCCATGGAGGCTCCCAGCCCTTTACACCACTTCTTACAGGACCACAGAAGAGTTTGGGTCAGACAGGTCCCTCAAAAGACCATCCAGTTCCAGCCCCCTGCCATGGGCAGGGACACCTCCCAGCAGCCCAGGCTGCTCCAAGCCCCATCCAACCTGCCCTTCAACACTGCCAGGGATGGGGCAGCCACAGCTTCCCTGGGCAACCTGGGCCAGGGTCTCACCAGCCTCACAGCAGAGAACTTTTTCCTCATGTCCAATCTACATCCACCCTCCTTCAGTTTAAAACCCTTGTCCTGTCCCTACAGACAAGCACAAAGTTTCTCTCACATTCTTACAACCCCTTTAGAGTTTGTGCACTGCAGGTGCCCCAGCCCGTGCCGTGGTGCTGGGCTGCCTGTGCACCAGGACCCGGGCATTTCCCAGCACCATGACGTGTGGCAGCAGGAGCTGGGACAGGGCCTGAGCTCACTGGGATGGAGCAAGGGCACCAGCATGGCAGGGAGGAAATCTAGGGATGATGGACCCATAGAATTGTTCTGGTTGGAAAAGACCTCTACGATCACCAGGTCCAACCATTCACCCAGAGCTGCCAGGGCCACCAACTAAGCCATGTCCCTCAGCACCACATCTACGTGGCTATGACACCCCTCCAGGGATGGGGACTCCACCACTGCCCTGGGCAGCCTGTGGCCACGGGCAACCCCACAGCTGAAGTGCTGCACCCATCTCAGCAGCACCCGGCACTCGGTCGGGATGCAGGAGGAACAATTAGCAGCAATTAGCCCGATGGACAGCAAACCATAGGCTGCCCCTGTGCCAGTGCAGAGCTCTCCCACCCCAAGACGGACGGCACTGCCCACCACCCACACCAGACCCCCACAGCACCCACACCAGACCCCACAGCACCCACACCAGACCCCACAGCACCCACACCAGAGCACCACCGTGCTGGCAGCAACAACCAGAGGGTGCACACCAGGGAACTGTGGAAACCTGGGGGAGAGGGAGCGCGGTGGTGGAGCAGAGCCTGGCTGAGGGACCAGCCAACACACCCACAGGGTGCCAGGAGCCACAGATGCCACCCCTGGGAGCCACATCCCACCCAACAGCACACACCTTCACCAGGCAGGTCGAGGTGCCAGTGCCACATCTCCGGGGCAATGACCAGCACCAACACTGCTCCCGTGGCACAGGGACCCCCGTGGGACCCTCCCTCCCTCCCGCAGACCCTGACCCAGGGCTGCTGGCCCATGGGCACACACCAGCCTGGCAGCCAAGCCGGGGGAGCAGCCCCAGGGACTCACTGGGCAAAGAGGTGCCGGGAGCGGACGATGAACTTGAAGACGAACTCCAGGGCCTTGAAGGTGCGGGTGAGGGGCTCGCAGGGCTCCCCCCGGCCCGCCCGCTCCACGTACTGTGTCAGCACCCAGATCAGCTTCCTGCAGGGTGGGGACAGGGACACACATGGCCAGGGCTCAGTGGGTTTCTGCCTCATTGGCTCTGCCTCGCCAACCTGCCCGCCGGGCACTGGGTCCTGTCCCTCCCTGTGCCTGCTGCCCCATCCCCCCTGCTGTGACCACCCTGTACCCACTTGTAGGCGAGTGTGGCACTGAAGTGCTGGCAGATGTAGGCCTCCAGGACCGTGTTGAAATGCTGGAACTTCCTATCAGCCACCAGCCCCACGATGAAAACCTGGGGGAACAGCAGTGTCATGGATTGGTGCAGGCATAGGTGCCCACAGCCATGGGTGCCCACAGCCGTGGCCAGAGCATCACTGACCCCTCATGGGGGCTGCTGAGGCCACCAGAGCCCCCTGCACACCCACCAGCCTGCAGGGGGAGGCAGAGCTCCAAGATGTGGGAAGCCCAAAATGAGCCTGAAGCCCCACGGCTGCAGAGATCTTCACAGCCAGTTTGCATGGAGCTCACACCATCACCAACCCGGGGGTCCCACAAGAGGCACCCCGACACTCCCCTGGGCCTATCACTGGGGTCACTCTTCTCTCAGTGTAGAAGAAACCCCTTGGAATGCTGCTGGAATTGTCCCCTGGAGGCACAGTGTCCCCACAGAGCCACGGCCCAGCCCTGTGCTGGGTTGGCCAGGGTCTATTGACCCCTGGCACCATGTAGGAGCTGGAGGAACTGCACAGCTTGTCTGGTCAGCTCAGCCAGCCCCAGCCCAGCCCAGCCCATCCTGCTCCTTCAGTGGGCTCAGCAGGGGACAGCAGGTCCTGCTCACCAGGGCATCAAAGACCAGCGTGTCATAGACATCTGTGTTGGAATTCTCCATCATGATGGAGAACAAGGCATCCAGCGTGTCCTGGAGGAACTGGGGGAGAGAAGGGGGCTGTGAAGGCTTGAGCATTAACCCCCAGCATCATCCCCAATCCACCTCCGGGCACAGGAGTGACCTGCCTGGGCACAGAGCTCCTGTGCCTATTCTCAGCCTGGAGCATCCAGCCCTTTGCCAGATCATGACCCCCAGCACGGCTGGTCCCCAGCAGGGAGTTCCAGGGGGACTCCTGGGGCCAGTGGGTCAATTGCTGTGGGTAGGAGCAGTGTCTCTCCCTAGGGAAAAGGCTCTGAGGCTGTGTGGGATTCTCCCAGTGCTCCCAGTCCAGCCCCAGGGCAGGGCAGCTCCCCAGGCTCCAGCAGTCGTTCCCAGCACAGCCATCCAAGCTGCCAGGAAACCCCCAGTGGAACCACCACCCCCAGGAGCTTTCATACCCCTCTGACACCCTGGAGCAGACACTGGGGACATAGCAGGAGATGTGAGTGCTGGAGCAGGGAAGGAAATCCCAGCAGGGCAGGGGAAGGTCCCAGCTGTACCTTGATGACTTCCCCTCCATCCACGTTCATCAGCTTTTCAGACCCCCTCCGTGGATTACGCCCCGCCACTTCAACAGCCCCAGCAGGTTCACTGGGGGGAGAAGGGGACAGTCAGAGCTGCTCCCCTTCCTGCCATTCCTAGCCTTCCCGACCCCCCTCCCACCCTCACTGCCTGCTGGAGAGGCCCCATCCCAGGGGACACGGTGCTACTCACACCCCCAAGTGGGAGCGCATCTGGACAAGCTTCCAGCCTCTTATTGTTTTGTATTCATTCCCCCACCCAGGAAAACTCACCTGCTGAAAGGCAACCTTAGTAAACAAGGGGAAAAAATGGGCAAATCTCTTGAGGCAGAGCTTGGAGCTACAGACCCAGCGACGTGCAAACAGGGCCTGCAGCAACACCCACCCATGGAGCAGCACC